CCAGCTGAGTGCCTTCTCTCTCCGCTTCCCTACAGTGCCAACAGTGGGCAACACTAGCTAACGTTATTGGTAGCAAAATACTAACTGAGGCACAAATTTCAGGCACAAAAACAACAAATGCGAAACAAACACGACAGACGGGTTTCAGTAGAAGTGTGTGCAAATATATTTTCATTTCTTGTCATACAAACAACAATAATAAAAAAAGTGAATCATTAACCATAAAAATGAACAATTAAAAAAAAAGACCAGAGACTGAAATTTAAACGATTTACAAAAATCTCTCGTGTGAACACAAAAGGCGGATATCTCTGGCGGATACAGTGCATGTTATACATCAAACTTTAGGTGCTGAGAAGGAAAAGTTCATCACAATGGATTCAGCATGTTAACTACATCAGAAAGTTAATAAAAAAAGACAATAAACGCACTCTCTTACAGGCTGTAACAGCTTCATTCAGTTGGATTATTGTGGAAGAATGTGAATTATTATATACACAATGTGACTGAATGCAGCGTCCAGTACATTCAGCTTGAATTTATGTTCTGAAAATCAAATATAAAAGTCAGTAATTCATCAACACATTTATAAAAGTCATCTGATAATTAACCCAATCAACAAATCTCATGTGCAGATTCAAACCATCAGCTTGTTAGTTTGTAGACTTTTGGTTTTTAATCAAACAAACGGGAACAAATAGTGCATTTGTTGGGGACTATTTTCAACGGCGGATAAATCCACATTTGGAGTTTTAGTGAGTGTTCGGGGCAGCAGGACGGTGTATAAATAAACTACAGTGTGAGTTCATGCTAATGAAGGACGACAATGGAGCTCTACGGTACAAAGAAAGAAGATATATCATTAAGATATGCTACGTGCTAGGCTAATCAATGTTGAAAAGACAACCACGTTTTTAAGGTGGTTAGAAGATAAAATAAACATTTACATAGTCTCATCTTAAAATAGCTAATGTCATCAGATTTAACAAGCTAGCTAAAGACTAATGTAGATTAGCTTTCAGTGGCACTTTGGTTGGGTTTAGGTAATAAAACTACTTGGTTAGGTTTTAGGAAAATATCAGGGTTTGGGACAAAATCAACACTTTCACTTCTGGCAGAAAAGCTTGGCGGTTGAAAGCTACATAACGATGCTAGTTAGCTAATGTTTTGCATCTAAGTACAGGAAAGGAGGCAGCTGAAGCAAAAAGGGGCGTGGCTTGGGAAGGGTCAATATTTGTTAGTATATATATTTACTGTTGGTTTGAGTCTGAACATGAGATTTTTTGACTTTAAGAAAAATATAGAATATCAGCAAACTTATCACAAACATTTGTTGTTGTTAGCTGAATTTGGTTTAATGAAGATCAATCACGGTGTTAATTAATTATTCATGCAGACAGTGTTGATTATAAAACTTATATTATCTGATCTGTAAATCTGTCAGGGTGAATAAACTGCAGAGAAAAAACTTTCTTCTGACTGTGTGACAAATACTGACAAATTATGTTTTTTCGTGAGGCCGATTCAAACGAACCAATTTTGTAAACCATGCTGTTGTTTGTAAAATATCTCAATCTGACCTTTTAACCTAATATTTCGACCCTAAATATTCGTAATAGTCCATGTGTCTATTGAACAGGTAATATATGTAATCAACTGGGAATATCTGGACTCTTCAGAAATCCTGAATACTGTGAGATAATAATTTTTCAGCAGAATTATGCTCCTTAAACCCCCAAGCTAACACTTCTGGGCTTATTAGGCAGTATTTCAGTGGCTACGGCCCGGTGAAAACAGTTTTTCAACATCTATGCTGCTTCGTAGCCAACGTTAAAAATATTTACGTTAACCATTCTGTTGTGCACAATGGGACAGCTACCATGCTAGCACATAAATGAGTTGACAGCTGTATTGTCGGATATTATTTCTGTATTTAAAGCAACAAAATGGAGGAATGTGGTTATACTTAAACATTACTCCTATTTTTTAACTTCATATAATTCATTGATAATAAATTGAGACAATATTTTCCTCTATTTTTACGTCTACAGATCAAATCTTTGTGTTATTGAACAGATGTTGTTGTGTAAAGCGTGAACCAGGTGTTTTATATACTTTGTGGTGTAGATATTATGATTATAGTTTCTTCAGTTTACACACCTGAGCTCCTTCCGGTAGACTGAACTCATTTTATATCAGTTAAAATGTAAAGTTGTTGTTTTGAGCTCTGTGTGAATCCTGATTAGTTTCCTTAAAAAAACAAACACACACGACTGTTTCTTCTTCTACTGCACAACTTCACACGTCTCAAACCCCCCAACCCCCCCAACCTACCGGACTTTCATACAATAAACATCCAGATAGAGTCGAAAACATAAAGATGAACATTGGCACAGCTTGGTTCCCATTGGAGGGCCGGCCTGGTTTGTACTACGAGGCTAATCAGAGCTAGCCTGGCGTCTACTTCTGGGTTAGCCTGGTTTCAACCACTGGGCTAAACAGGGCTTGACTGGTTTAGACTGGGAAGACACTGTGATTCTTTTATCGATCTCTGTACATCTCTGTGATTTTGATCTGTTTTAACAGACTTTTCTGTGAGGCTAAAACTTACGGCTTGTAGTATTTATCTGAATAATCAGAATCAACTGATGGTGTAATAAAGTGACTGTACATAAATATACTAACTCTACTTTTCAGGGTCCGGCTGAAAATGAAATCACATTTTAATAAAATTTCAGTAAATACTGTTAATCTTTGGTGTTTCTTTTGACTTGCGCACTTATTTGGTTAGCACATTTCATGCTGAGGTTACGATACTGTGGTGACAACTGACAGAAAGATAAAGCTAGCTAGGCCTTGTGTTTTCTATAATGCAGAACAAACACGGCACTACAAGTGATATCTAGAGGTAATCTAACGTAGCGTTAATGTCAGTAAGCAGGGCTAACTAGCTAGTTAGCCTATCCTGCTAGATTATACTTTTTAAGTCAAATACAAACTTTCGCAGCGTTTCCATCCAAAATACCCAGAACGTTCAGTTACAGGAACTACTTTTATTTTCTACCTCAGTGTAATGGCAAAATGAACAAAATACAAACTGGTTTACAACTGCAACTAAAATGGTGGCTGAAATAAAATACTTTGAGTACACAACTATAGTATAGTATAGAGTTAAAGTATTTTTCATCAGGACATTCATATTTCTAACCGTGATAATCTCCCTGGTTTTGGTATCGATTACTACATTTCTGGTATTGCGACATCCTCAGTCCCCGAGACTTATCTTACGGTACGAATCGTCCCAAATGATGAATGTTACAAAGAGACAGAAACGCTACATAAACAACACTGTAATATAACTAATATAATTATAATTCCTCACACAGAAACGAGCAAACTTTGAATTTAGTTTTGGGCTAATTTATGCGTACAGTTACTTTATGACACTATTAGTTAATGCTGGTCCCAGTCCACCGTGTTCATTCCCGATATATAAATACAGAAACCAAGAGAGTATTTAGTTAAAATGGGTTGTTGCTCATTAATTAAGAGTTGTCCGGTGGAAACTGTTCCCAGTGTGTTTAAACTAGCCCAGTTTAGCCTTTCCCAGTTTAGTGCAGTCTACAGTATTTAAGTCCAGTACATCTTAGTCTGGTCAAGTCTAGTTTGTCAAATCTGGTTCTAAAGTAAAGCCGGTTTAGTCTAATCTAGTCCAGCCCAGTCTGCCATTGTGTAGTCTCGATCGTCTAGACTAGTTCAGACTGGTCTAATCAAGCCCAGTCCAGTCCAGTCCGGTCCAGTCCGGTCTACGCAGCCACACAGTGGTTGGGTCTGCGGGACATGACGTATCCTCTCCTGCAGACGCAGCGGAACGAGCCCTCAGTGTTCACACAGCGAGCGTTCACACACGGGAAATCCACGCCGGCGCCGCCGTCGCACTCGTTTATATCTGCAAACACACCGAAAAATGACTTTAGAGGAAGAGCGTTGGTGAAGACGTGTGCTGATGGGAGCATCATCTTCAGTTAGCTAATGTTACCAAATAAAAGTTACGTAGAACCAAAAATGGGAAACAATATTCACGTTTCCATCGCAAATTAAACCGAATTTTGATTAATTCAACAAAATAAAATGTAAATGAATGAAACTTAAAAAAATAAATAAATGCGTTGATAGAAACACGGCTAATGCTCGCAGTACCTATACACGTCATGGAGGTCATGTCCAGTTCGTATCCTTGGTAACAGTCACAGGTGTAACCCTCGGCAACGCGAATACACCTGCCGTTTTCACAGCCGTGCAGTATCCCACAATCCTCTGCTGTGCTCAGGCCGGCGTAGGACTCGTAAGGCCCTGAAAGACGAGAGAGAGAAGGGTTCATTGCAGTTCCTCTAACAGCCACTAGTCAGTGAGATAGTTGAACACCGAGCTAACCTTCATTTATCTGCGGTGGATTTTTTTAAATATTATGTTTATAGTTTTAAAACCAAACATGATCTTTTTAATCTGGCTTCTAAATTAACTTATTATTTATTTGTCTAGTTACACATTTTTATCTGTTTTATTATCTATTTTTTCATCTTTTTTTAATCTTTAAAAAGTCATTTATCAGTTATACAAATAAAGTCTGATTGATTTATTACATATTAATATACTGATTATAAATAAATTTGTTCCTTAAGTTAATCTTATAAATAAAGTTATTTTGTTTTTTGTAGTTTTTATATTTGCCCATAATAATTAAAATATATAATATAATAAATTCCCTCATATTAACTAATATGTAACTACCAATGAATTAAAAGCTGATTGTGAAATACCGTTACATGGAGGATGAAGTTTCCAATAATAATTCATATTTGTGGAAATCAACAGCTGCTTCTAAAGTTAATTAGAGCTGCAACGATTAACCAATTAATTGATTAATTTACTATTAAAATAAGCTTTATTTTTATTCTTTTTATGAAACTTCCTCATAAATTCTTATTAAACACAGACCTGCAAAATCAAATAATAAACTCACTCTCATACACCCTCCTCGGTGCTCCTCCTCCTCCTCCTCCTCTGCTCCTCTCCGTGAACGGAGGAAAGGGCGGGCCCGGCCTCCACGCCACATCCTCCTCCTCCTCCTCCTCCTGCTCCTGGTAGGGGGCGCCGGGCAGCGGGGCCAGGCTGAGAGGAGCGCCGTCGGGCCGGGACGGAGGAGGACGGGCCCCGAACGCCCTCTCACCGCGGGGGTCAAGAGGGAGGCGGAAGGGCGGAGTCCTGGGTGGGGAGCCGTCGGGGGGGCTGAAGTCTCCTTCAGAGTAGTAACCAGTGCTGAGAGATACACAGATAGACAGACAGACAGGCACATGTTGTATTTTCCTTTAGGATACCCATTAGCTACAGCATTACAGCAGCTACTATAATTATTATTATTATTAT